AATGCCGTTGAAAAACCAATTGGTATCAAAGCCCGTAACCGCCCCAAAGAATTAATACGATGCTTCCAAAGTTGCAGTGATCTTAATACCACAACGATGTACCGCCTGGAAAAGTTGGGGTAAGGGAAACTTTAAAGCTCCGTGGGTAAGAGCTGGCGTTCTGTGGCCTCTCATAAGTAAAATTCTGGTTTCTGAACATCTCACCTGTGGAGAACAGAGCCTGTTGAGTACTTGCTTGGTAAATCCCGCATGGTTAGGTTATGTGGAACATGGGGTTAATAGGCAGCATCCGTAGCTTCCTAATGGCAGGCAGTGTGGAAGAATGCATCTGCGGCTTTGGATGTGTGAACGGCCTTAAGCGAGGAACAGTCTGAAGCACTTTGTTTGGGGCTGGGGTTGCTAAAACTCAAACCACCTATCAGGTTAAGTGTGTTAACCTGCAAATTCAGAAGGCAGTGTGTAACACCTGCCGCATTTCTTTCTTTACAGTCGTCGTATTTTGGTACATGTTTGCATGCAGGCATATATACGTACATATATATAAAATATAAAGACAGATCTTCCTCTGGTACTGCCAGCGTAGCTAAAAAGCCTTTAGAAAAACGTTTGGTTAAGCAGGTGACGGTCGTAATGGACACTTCTACCAATACGATAGAAATGCATTTGACACGGATGTAAATGTATTTGTTAACCTGAATCCTGCTTTTATATTGATTTAATAGATGTAGGTCTTTGTGGGTAAGTCTGCAGTAGCTTAGCTAAAGGTGTGGGCACAGGGGCTTCTGTGGGGTGAGCAGGCTGTGGCTCCATCACACACAAGCCATGCAGAGTAGATCCTGGTTGATACCTTCTTGTCTTGAATGAAGGTGTGAGCTACTCTGGGATGGACTGTAGATAGGGTGAATGGCCCCACTTGTAGTTTGGAATAAAAGCGTGTACTTAGATGGTGAGTGATGCCAAGAGAGTTTAAAGGCTTTCACATTTACACAGTGGTTAGCAGAGTAAGAAACCAGGAAGATTCGTGTGAAATTCCTGCCTGTACATGTTGCTTAAGGTGGTGCACAGCATTTGTAGTAGCTTATGGCAGTTAGGGAGAGGCAGGGAGAGGTTATGTAGGGCTGTTTCTTAGTCACAGTATCTTAAACTCTTCCTATAATAGTTACACAATAATCATCAGACTAGTGTTTCTTCAAAACATATCTTTGTATTGCACATCAGTGTGAAATTAAAGCATTAGAGGAATCATAGATAAAAAAAAATGGAAGAGCTTGTTCCCATCAAATGTGTCAGTCTTCTAACTCACTAATTAGCATTTGTATGAAATTGTTCAAGTTGATTCCTGGAATGGTTTTCAGAGGAAAGATTTTTGTACAGCTTAGAAATTAGTGTTGGAACTCACACAGCTCCAGGATTCAGGTGTTTGGGTGGTGTGTTAAATGCTTGTTAGTGCAACGAGGAGTCACTCTGTGTTGAGTATTGTTCCTACGTGGTCTGCTGCTGGTGCCTTTCCTGGCTCTATAAAAGCTCTGCCTCTTTCCTGGTGTAAGATTCTTCATGGTTGCAGCACAGAAGCTGACTGGAGGGGTTCTGTATGTGAATGTCTCTGAAACTGTCTGGTCTCTCATAGCCTACTATGTAATACTTTTAGTGAATTTAAGAAGAATGCACTCTCCTTTGCTGAAACTTGCAGTTTTTTCTTGCCTATAAAAAGGACCCTTACCAGTATTAGTGTCTCATACACTGAGCAAAAGAACCAGTGTTTCAATGGACATAAGATCTTTCTTTTCCGAATCCTTAATATAGCCTGTTTGTTTTCTCTTTGACACTAGGTGTTGTCCAAGGACCACCTGCACCTCCTCCCCCACCCCCTCTACCCCCTGGCCCAGCTCAGTCTTCAGTAGCAGCCCCACCTCCGCCTGGCCCACCACCACCACCTCCACTTCCACCTTCAGGGCCTCCGCCGCCGCCACCACCACCTCCTCCACTTCCTAGCCAAGCCCCTCCTGTTCCCCTTCCACCTCCTGCTCCCCCGCTCCCTGCCTCTGGATTTTCAGTGGGATTCGTGTCCGAAGAAAATCGCCCTTTAACTGGACTAGCAGCTGCACTTGCTGGAGCCAAGCTTAGGAAAGTCTCACGGGTAAATGCAGCTCTTTTGTTTCTTTTTCCATTTCCTGTCTTCCTGAACGGGCTGTAATTTTTGTTTTGATATTAATAGCAGTATCAAAACTGTTGGATTAGGCTTAATTCACTATTAAAAAGGCGTTACAGGGTGTACTACCAGCCCATCCCATTCTTTATACAGTTGTTTGTTTCTGACCTGTGAGCTTTGCTTCTTTCATTAAGTAGTCTGTCATTTTATTTGCACATCTGCTGTTTTGTGCATTATGAAGGGTGAAGACTCCTCCAGTTCAAGTGGAGGAGGAGGAGGCAGCTCTGCTTCATCTAAAACAGACAGTGGCCGTGGAAATGGACCCCTTCCCCTGGGAGGCAGCGGGTTGATGGAAGAGATGAGTGCCCTGCTGGCCAGGAGGTAAGGGCTGTTCCTCTGCTCTTCCCGCTTAGTCCTCTCTGACGTAGGATTTGGGGTGCCTGTTTGCAGCTGGCTAGGGATCAAATAAACATTGGCTTACTCACGTGGCTGCTTTGTGAAGCTGATAACGTTTTGTGAATAGCCTTTTTTACTTGAGTATAATCAAGCGCTTCTGTGTAAGTCAGTGCAGCAGTAGGGGAGGGAGGGGATACAGACTTCAGGAGGAGGAAGAATTGCAGTTTCTTTGGCAGGAGGGCTTTGTCCTTGAAAGTATTTTGAAAGGACTTTTTTAAACATTAATTTCCAATTATCTAGCTATCAAGTTGTATATGTCTTTAATTACTAAACATTGTTCTTCCATCTTAAAGCTCTGACTAATCTTAAAGCTCTGACTATCTTGGTAACTTTTGTCTCTGCTTATAGGAGAAGAATTGCTGAAAAGGGATCAACAGAACCAGAACAGAAAGAAGATAAAACTGTGAGTTGAGAAATTTTAGCTACTTCATGTTACTCAGTACAAGATTACAAAGATGATTCTGGTGGTGTACATGAGACATAATTTATACTTTACAGTATTTATATGCACACAGAGAACAACTTGTTCTGTGAAGTGGATAGTGCTTGCACGTTTTCTACATACAATTGAGTAGAACCACTTAAATCTATATAAAAAGTGAAATAAATATTTGAACAGTTGAGATTAATTTGTTAGCTTCACAAGACTCAAAGGTGGTTTTTTTTCTCCCTTCCTTCCTTCCTTCCCCCCCTGCCCTGGCCTTCTCCCTCTCTCCTCCCTTTTAATCAGGAAGAATCAGAGTCTTCAACTTCTAAGGTTTCTTCAACGAGCACACCTGGTAAGTAGCACAGGTTTGTGGACTCTGTGACTCTACAGTGCTAAAGCCTAGTAAGGAATCTCAGTCAGCAATGCTGAATTTTGGAGCCTGCCTCTTCTCCCCTGATTACAGCCTGGCATTTTGCTGTAGAACAGGTCCTGGTTCAGAAGCAGTTCAGAAAGTGGCAGATAGAAAGAACATCCACTGGAACACTGTGCTTGGTGTAGGGGCCTCCTGTGTCGAACCTGTGGGGCTGATGCACACAGAAAGCAGCTGGTAATGGATGTGAAAGCAGTTGTCTTTCAGTCCTTGCAGGGGGACAAACTACAAGTTGGGACAGTAATTTGTTTCTCTCAGGGCAGACATACAGGGCTGCCAGAGTCGGATGGAGAGAGTTGCCATTTCAAGAGCTTTAGTGAAGAATCGTACACATACAAGTGTCCATTCTGAATCAGTGTAAGTGCATGGAGTAGAAGTTCTTGATTCCTTTGCTGAGGTATGCTTGTGGCAGAGTTAGGAACTGTGTAGCAACACTTCAGTAAGGAAAGCTTACGTGTATCACCAGCGCTGGAGTTGGCCAAGTTGTATTGTCAGCATGTGTATGTATTTGTACCATAAATGCTTGTGTTACAAGGACTTGGGTGACATCTGAGACTTTCTTTTCCAGTCCCTTAAGGGTGCAAGAAGGTACTTCTACTTTCCCTAGCCACCTTCCCCTACATGCATACAAAAGGGGAAGGATGTGCCATGTAATATACACTTGGTCATCTCAAAAGGTAGTGGAAGCAGAAGGAAAATGACTGTCTCATGAATATACCAGTCTTCAGTATGTTCTAGCTTTCTCTGTTGACTGCTTACCAATGTGTATACTTCACTAGATGATTTGGGCATGTGATGGTGTGCAGGCCTTAATACTGAAAACCACTGCTCTAAGGTGAACAAAATCCATGTGGCCACTGCCTGTGGGATAAAAAGGAGAACAGGAGCTAAATGTGTCCTGATGGAAGTAACAGGAAAACTGTTAGTATTGAAGAACAGCCAGTAGTCTAAAGAAGTTAGACTGCGAGGCAATAAATGACTTGATTTGTATTAAGTTTATCATTTCCTCCCCCCCCCCCCCCCCCCCCCCCCCCTTTTTCTTCCCTTCATTTAGCTTAGGAGTTTGCTTCATTCTGTTAAACACACATAATATTAGCCTTGCGGAACTGACAGCTTTTGGAAGACAACTTCTAATAATTACAGGCCTGAAAGAGGGAAATCAAAAATGGTGGAAGTGGTTCCTTTAGTTGGTTGTCATGATAAGAAGCCTCATCAGACTTTTTAAAAATGTCAGATGCATCCAGAGGTTTGACTTTTTCCTTCCAGTGGAGAGATTTCACTTCATTTCTTGATGATGCCAAATGCTGTGGTAATGCAGTGCCTCACCACTGGAACATGTCTTTAAAATGTTTAAGAGGAATGCTTGGCATTTGGAGCAAAGGCCAGGTCAAAAATTTGTGTAATTATGTCTAATTACCACTAATAATATAATAGTTATAGACAGACTTGCTAGCATTTACCTCTTTTCTTCGGTGTTGTGCCCTTCCTATGTGCTGTTGTGGTGAACTGTCAGAATTCTGCGTTCTTTGTCAGGAGGAGTATGATGTTGGAAGGGGAGACATTGCTTCTGGCCTGAGCTTGGGTCTCGTTTGGTTTATTTTGACACATTTCAGCTGTTCAAGAGGTGGTGTTCTCTCTCTCCTGTTGCTTACAGGCAGAGTTACACTGTGATTCTATAGATACTAGCCCTTCTTTGTATATGGTGTATTCCTTTTAGGGGAAGAAATAAACAGTCGCATAACTGTTTCAATAACAGTTTTAACCAAAGTTAAAACACATTAGGTAATAATATAAACAAAAGAAGCTCAAAGCCATGGGATAGGCAACAGATGTAGGACTCTTGGATAATGTTTGCTGTTTCAGCTAGATAGGGATAATCATGTGGTCCTTGAGCAAGCTGCAGCCATAGCAAAAGTTTCTCAAGTAATTTTGCAGATACAACTAAAATCTTGCTAAAATAACTCCTGTGGCAGGATGAGTCCTGAAGTACGTCAGGTCACAGGCTGTACTGGCAGACTTCTGCCTCTCAGCCTGCCCAGCTTGGCAGAGCTGACCAGTACAATGGGAAGGGAACAAAACAAACCAACCCAAAATCTGACATAAAGACTGATAAGATCAGTGGTACATTAAAGTCCTAAGTAAGTAACAATAGCAAGGAAGTAATAACCATTCACACTACAGACAGACTGGTTTAGCTTGTGCAGATTGTAAGGAATGAAATCCTGATCCATAAGGAATGAAGTATTTGTGGTGATAGGTATGTCCTGTGGAAGGGCTTATGTGAGACTGCTGAAGGAGAGAAAAAAAAAAAAACTCCCTGACCATACAAGAATAAAATAATCAGTCCTTAACTGAACTGTTGGCCCTGTTTCAGTTGTGATTTCTGTCTGTCTGCTGTTGACAAACAAACCTGCACAATGAAGCCAGCTTTCACGTGTGACTTCACTGTAATAAACTCAGGGTAGCAAGTCAAAGTTTATTGAAGAGAGTTCTAAACAGAATTGAAAACAGGCTCCAGGATGCAAAGTGAAGCATGAGCATGTATAAAGACAGGTTGGGTTTTAAAAACTTGACTGAAAACTGTAGACCTGAGAACTTGACTCATGCCTGTAGACTAGGCCCAAAAATCCTCTTCTGTAGCGTATCATAGAGTGCTTGCCCACAGAGTATAAGCTGTCCAGGTGGTAGAAGAGATGCACAGTAACACTTTGTCTAGTGGTGGTAAGTAAACTACAAGCTTTTCTGAAACTGAGGGCAGTTTACCTTTAGTTTTGAGCCTGCATTATTTTGAAAGGGGAAAATTTTTAGGGGACAAGGCTTTGGAAAATAAATAACTTGTTGCTGAAAGGTATTCTAGTTGTGTGAGGCTGTATTACCCCTTCTATCCCTACGTAGAAATTGTCACTGAATTACTTTTATAGCTTTCATTAACAGCTCAGGAAAACTCCTTTAGCATAAAAGCATCTTCTCCCAGTATATGAAGCTGACTGTTTGGTTCCAGAATTCCATGTTTTACAACTGAAGCAATAAGGCAAACCTCCCACTTGAATTATCAAATTGGCATTTACAACGTCTAGAACAAAAGCGAGACTTTAAGATGCCATCATAACATAAATACAAGGCCAATACAACAGAATGTCACTTAATACGAAAGAACTAATGCAGTGTAGTTCAGGGGGGAAAAAAAAGGCTGATTGAGTTGCCAGGTACTTGAAGTTTCCTCACGTAAATTACACAGCAAATAGAAAAAGGCAGTTTTTAATCTTCTCATTATGTTTTCCAGAACTAACAAGAAAGCCTTGGGAAAGAACGAATACAGTGAATGGAAGCAAGTCACCTGTTATCTCCAGGTACTCCCTTTTGCACCAGTTGTCTTTTCCTCATGTTTGCTGTTGTTGCTCATGCTGCTCAAGACACTGGATGAAAATAGGAGAAATCACCTTAATAGTGTTAAAAGCAAAATATATGGGTTTAAAATTACTGCTGGGAAATTACTGTTGGCCATGTTAATTGAGAATGAAGACTTGCTTTTAGAGAATGCTAGTAAGTGAAAATTTTGACAGTAAAGTCAAAAGTAAACCCCTAAAAGATTCCTTAGCAATTAACTTCAATTATTAAGTTGTATGTTTGCCTGCAGCAATGTTTCCATCTTTCTATTTTTTTTCTTAATTTATTTTAAAGTCTGAAATTTCCCGCAGGGGAAAACCAAATTCAGTGCTGTGATTCGTATGTTCAGTAGTAAACTTAGTGAATAGGTTTCTCCTTTCTGTTTCTGTGTTAGTCATAGAATGGTTATCTAGATATTTACGCCATGTTGGTAAGAGTTGGTTCTGTGACAGTTTTCAGTTGTTATCTCATACCAATCCAAGACAGTCCAGCCTAAAGAAATACAGAAATATTATACATCCCTCAGTGCAGTAACCAGTTGTTGGTAACTTGCCAGCTGGAACTTTGGTAGGCAGTGGGTGTTTGGTAGGCATTTCAGTAATGCAAAAGAGAGAAATTGGCTGCATTAGCAATTTTTTTAGATTTTATTTTTGAGGTATATTTTATTGTCCAGGAGGCTTGTGGTTCACTTCAGAATTCCTATGTATTTTTCATACAGAGGTTAAAGGATTCTGGCTTGTGATAATCTGACGAAGTTACCTGAATTTCTTGAGAGAAAGCAAAAGAACATGTTAAACCTGAGAATTACTTGGATTCTCCTTAAAATTCTGGCCTGTTGGATACAGCTGTTCAAGTTTCAGTGATCAGAGATGAAAAACCAATTATTCCCTAAGTGGCATTGCTTGTGGTTGAGGTTGTCTCCGAGGTCTTTGGTTCCAAAATGCAGCATTAAACGCTCTCAGCCTGCATCAGTATCCTTGTCTGTCTTTCAGAAGTACTAAGTTCAGGAGCTTAAAATGTCTGCAGCCCTGATTCTGGTTGCTTGCTTTGTGTTTTTTTGGCAAAAAGCAGGTGATGTTGGTGATGTCCTCTCTGCTACACTGCCAGTGTAACAAAACACTGCTTTACCTTTAGCCTTGACTTCCCCCGACCTTCTTCCCCCTCGCCCTCGGGAAGGTCTCACCTGCTTTAACCAAGGTCTCTTGTTTTCAAGCAGATCGAGGTACCAATATGTGGCATCGAGGGGGAACTTGTCACAGAAATAGCTTGTGTAAGGAATCCTGACGAGCATTTTAGGTGTCATGCGAAGACAGTTGCTGACCTGACCCTTTGGATCTAAATACCCTGTGTATAAGCAATTGAAGAAAGGAAAGTGAAGGGATTAATGAATAGGGCGACTTCCATATCAGACTCCTTTGGAGAGTCTGGGGATGTCCCTAAGTCTTCATTCTGCCTGTCCCTATGGCCTTACCTTCTTATAAACTGTTTTATGCAGCCTGTTTCATTGATCTTGTTCCAGCTGTTGGAATTCAGAGGTTAGAGGGCTGTGTAAGAATGTTTTCTGACCTAGAGGGGTACAAACGTTTTGAGACTTTTCTTGAGACATATTAAGAAAATCTCTCCATCGTGCTTTTGTCTTCAGTCATCCGATGGAAAATGTTGATAGAATTCAGCCTGATGAGAGCCTCACTGGGTATATACTCTAAAAGTTCTTTCCAAATAAGAATTCCCTGTTTATTGGATGACAGTATTATTTTCCATTGCTGTCGTAAACTGCTGGAAGGTGCCGTAGCGTATCTTTTAAGACTGCTAGTACAGTTTTCTAGCTGGAGTTGACAGTTTGCCCTGCCAGGATGAGGAATGTTTCATGGACTGAGAAAGAAAAGGTATTAGTAGAAGTCTCTCTTCAATATCCTCGCATTTTTCCTTAATTCTCTACAGCTGTCAAGTCTATCTCAGCAAGCAGCTTGCTAAAGTAACTTTCCTTGAGCGCGTTAGTCAAAGGGTGCTGCTGCTTGAAACACTAATAGTGTGCTTGCCAAGAGGGGATATCTTTCACCTGGTAAGCCTGGAGAACCTGCTTCTGTCCTCTGCAGAGAGGATAGGAGTCATTTACAGGGATTAAACAAAGCATGCCTAAGAAACTGGCAAGTACGCCAAACTTTCTCTTCAGAGCCTCCAAACAGGTAGACAGTAAAGGAGTTACAGTGAATGTTCTAAGCAGTTTAAAATAACCAGTGTCCTGTTTAAAATCGGGCCTTTTTTGTAGCAGAATGAAAAGGCTGAAGCTGTCTGCTTTTCGTATCTCCCAAAACATTCGAATGGAAGTCGTGGAACATTAACTAGTTAAACTCCATGGTATTTAAGGTGCTGAAACTGAACATAATTAAGACCTATTATAGCTTGTTAAGGTAGTGTTTCTCCCCTTCGTAGACGGGAATCTCCGTGGAAAAATCTGCTTGCTTCTGAAAACAGGTTCTATGATTCATTAAACAGGTATCATCCTGTTGGGATTTGAGGCTTTAATAACCATTTTGATCAGTTCCGGGTTGGACTTTTTCTACATGGATTGGTAATCACCACAAGGATGACCAGGTTTCTTTTCCCATTTTGTTTGTCCAGTCAAGCCCATTTTTTGGACTGGTAAAAGCAGATGATACCAAAGGCAAATTGAGATGGCTTAAGAACCAGCCACGAATTCGTATTAAATCCCGGCTTTCTGGCACACGCCACCTGCAAAGGTACAAATTCCCGTTGGATAGGCCAAGATTTAGCAAACCATTGGCAGTGTTTAGAGAAGCAGGTTTTCGAAAATCTAAGTTTAATTACACAAGAATAGCAATTAATTTTCCAGGTGAGTTTTCACATCAGCTTTTCAGAAATTCAGTAAAGGCAACAGAAAAATTTTGCCTGACTTAAACTTTGGAAAGAAAAAAACAAAGGATTAAAAAAAGGGTGACTTGTAAATACAGTGTTTCTTTGGGAAAAGATTCACAAATTAGAATTAACATCATGTGTATGTTAAGATGTAAATCTCAGTTTTACTCTCTGTAGCAGTAGTCATAAAATACTGACATTGAAAACCTTCAGGTTTTAAGAACTTTCTTCAGGTAAACATGTTTCAGACCCCCCCCAAATTACTGAGTCCAATTCCAGCTTTGTTTTTCATGACGGCACTCATTGTGGTGACTACTTAATCTTCTGTATGAAAAGTTCCCCTTTCAGCTACTTATCTTGGGTGGTGTATTCTGCATGTTGGCATGAATAAAATCTTTATCTTGCATGCGTGGTTTAAGGTGTGTTAGGGCCTATCGACGTTGCCTCACTGACTTGTTAGGCAATGCTATGAAAAACCACACGGGAGAGCTCTTTAGCCACCTTAGGCTCCAATGGTTGGGATGTTGTATTCACTAAATTTGGATAGTTAATGTTTTTCTTAATCGCAGCCACATTCACTATTAATCCTTCTTCTGAGCGGGCTAAAGAAAGAAAAAGAGGATCATTTTGGGGCAAAGAAAGATAGATTGGCCTGAGATTAGAAATTACAGTTTACCAATTACCATCTTTAATATTTGACTGAATGAAGAATCTCTTGCATTTTGGAAAGCCAAATGGAATGCATTCTTAAGCCTGAGTGGTAGAGTTTATAAAGGGACTTTCCTGTTTTTGACAGATAGCAGGACTCTGTGGAGTATGGTTGGTAGAGCAGTGTTTAGAATAAAAAGATCTGAAGCAAAAGAAACACAGAGCAGTCTGTCTGTGGAGAACTCTTTTTTTTTTTTTAAAGTAATATCATTAGAATATTAAAGTCACAAGTAACTTTATTCAAATGTATTCTTTGTAATATAAAATATTAATTTTATTAAAGTATATTCTTGTTTGGGTTCTTTCATTAAGGCATGTAGTGTCCCTGTTATCACTTGCCAAGAATTGCATTTGAGAGGACACATTCTTTTTCCAGTCACGCTGGGTAAATGCTGTAATGCCATATTGTATGGGATGGGAACAAAGTAATAGTCAGTGGAAATGATCAGAAACTATATGTAGAGAATCTGAAAACCCCATGCTGTTCTGCTTGGCGTAAGTCACGTTTTCAGGCTGAAGTGTAAACTGCAAGTAACACTTCAAATTTGGGATATATCCTGAAGCAGCAGCTGCCAAAGCCAAAGGTCTCATCTTGATGAGTGTTTCTGAGCAAGGAATCCTTTCACAGGGACAGAAGTGCTGTCAACATGTAAAAGTTTTGTGAAAGATCCCAAGCTGTGGTTTGTCTTCATAGCATTAGCTCACACTGTAGCTCTTCTGGTGGTTACAAGGTGAATTCTATTTTCCAGCTTCTTCCACTATCAAATTACTCAATATTTTGTCTTCTGACTTACTCGGTGGATTGTGTATTTCTTTTTGGTGTGTTTCAAGCAATAATGATTTTAGGAATTTCTCTCAGGGAACTTCTGTTTAAACAGCTGTAGCAACTGAGTATTGTGATCCCAAGTGAAGAGCCGAGCTGGTGTAACAACACAGGATGTTCCTGCACCTCTCTGCTCTGATGCAAATCTGGCAGCAAAGGGACAGTTACACAATCCCTTCTGCTGACTCCGTTTTGCATGGTTAATTGCTGGCAGCTTTTCCCTAAATGGGTGCCACTGGGCTTGACATAAGTAACTTGTCAGTGCACAGAAATAATCACGAAGCATTAAAAAAACAGTCGAGAGGTTTCAACGACCTACACTGGAGTTACTGCCTTTTGAAAAGATGAATGGGCTTGGGGGTACCAATTTAAAATGTCCTGTCAGCAGAATCACTTGGTAGCTATGAATGTGTACGAAGGTTTTAATGAATTTTTTGAATGTGCCAAGCTCTTCAGTGACACAGGCGTGCCCTATCTATCGCAGGTTAGGGGGAGGAAAAACAGGCAGGTCTTGTGTCCCATGTTGTTTCTTAACATTTTTTTTCCCACTGGGAACCTGCAAGAGGCAGCACTATCAGCTGGGGAGCACAAGCCTGCGAAAGTTTCTGTGGTATTGAAGCGACGTTTCAGTGTGTGTGCCCTTTTCTGTTGAGACTCACATTTTGAGTGTATTCCTTCAGTTAGCAAATGAGGAAGTTGTCCTGTCAGGTTATAAAAGTCATCGAGGCAATCCAGTATGAAGCTTACTCTGCTCATACTGAACAGAGACACTGTCATCAGACAGTTTCTTCTAGGATGAGCTGCTCTCTTATAAGGGAAGATGCATGGAAGGTAGTGATTTGTAAAAACAAACATAGATATTAATTATTCTTTTTCTTCTGAGGGAGAACACAGCTTTTTTTCTTCCTTTTTTTTTTAGCTAAATTAAAAATACTAAAATGGAAAAATTAAAGCAGTGCATCTACTGCTTTGCATTTGCAATGCCTTTACTGCATCTACCCTCACACATTCTGCTTTATTCTGGAAAAAAGTTTTGTACTATGTATTTGAGAGAAGATAAGGCGCAGAACTGTGCCTTTCCTTCTGTTTGTCTTTTTTTGTTCCTGCCCACCTTCCCTTTTAATAAATATGGCTGCGCCTTCAGGTAACGAATACAGAAAATTCAGTGTGTAATGAATTCACCCCACGTAAGAATTTTGATGTGAGACACTGAGTTTACACCAGGCTTTTTTGTTCAGTGATGCCACATGCAAGGACAATGAGATAGGGCCCAGTTCAGTCTACTAATGCCCTGCCCTTCCTTAACATGACCATACTGTGATAATTCTAAACACTGGGGAGGCCTCTCGACGTGAACTGTCAGCAGTTTTATCAACTTCTTTTGGCTTAATATTCTATAGACTATATTAGCCAAGATTTAAAATGAAATTATGAACAGCAGAACATTCCTTCTGCTTTGTCCCACACCATCCATCCATCCATCCCTGCCTTGTCTGCTGTTAGCGTCCAGGTTTGGTCTCTGCTCATAGCTGTCGGTATGCAAGGCCCTGTGGAAGCGTAGTACGTACATGAGTCCGAGTTACACCTTGTATATACAGAGAGGTTCAGAAAAGAGAAGTGTCAAGGTAGACAAGCCACTTTTTCTGGAATGTGTGTTTTAAAAATGCATGATAATGTTGGTAAGCAAGTTTTCAGTGTCTTAGGGGAGTATCATGTAGGCGAACATTGAACATCATGCAGTCTGAAACACTAGACCTTCCTCTCAACTATGGTCTTACAAATCTTGCTGCTGTTACAGAATTTGCTTTCAGTAGCTTTAGAAAGCAATTGATGGGATAATTTAGGTTGGAGGGGAGATAATAAGGTTGTTCAGCCTTGTCCTGTCAAATGTTGTGAATTTGCCAGGGTGATTCCACAGCATTCACACGGTTACAGCGTCAACATGAGCTCGTTACTTAGTGGGAATGTTCATTTGAGCGGGTCTCTCTGGAAATGAGTAAGCACTTGGAAGGGGAGAAGGGAAATTATTTGACATATGAAGGCTTTTCGTGCCTGTTATGAAAAATTCAGAAACCATGGACAGTGAAATCTCTCTGCTACTTGAAAATTTCTTGTTTTGAACCAATAACTCTTATTCTTATGGTAACTGATTCTTCCAGTATGTGGAAAATGTTCTTGATGGTTGCTTTCTATTCTGTGTGGTATTTTGGGTCTGCCTGATTTTCCCACCTTCCCACTCCTATTTTTTTTTTTTCATTTTGATTCTTTACTATGGTTTTGATAGATGAATGTTTGCGAATTTGACGGGTAAGTCTTACCTATCCTGTAATGAGTGACCCATAATTCCTGGATGTATTTTTGTACTGCAGACCAAAATCTACACCGACGGGGCAACCCAGTGCCAACGGAGTACAGTCGGAAGGTCTAGATTATGACAGATTGAAGCAGGTATGTGTATAATGCTTTGAATAGAAAACTTGGGTAGAAGGGCTTGTAGCTGTCCAGTACCAGTTTTTAACTGTTTTCTTAACTAGTTCCAAACTTAAGTAATGATTTAGAAATTATTAGTAATTATTTTTTCCCCAGATGTTTCAGGGTTGTTAGAAGGCATAACTGTAGGATAGCGGCTTACACAGCCCCATTACTTTCTCACAGATGCTTGTTCCTGCTTTTGCATTAGACAGCACACACAAGATGGTGTTGATACTATGGATGGAACTGGGAACCTGGTTTGCCTGGAAAACCTTTCCTTCTCTCTACCCAACCAAACATGCAGACAAGCCCTCAGAGCAGTTATAGCAGAACGAGTATCACCATGTTTTATATCAGATGTCATGAGTTTATATCATGGTCATGAGTTTGGTGGTGAAAGAGCATCCAGTGATACCACCTTTTGTGTTGCCATCCTGACTAAGAGGGGAGTCTTGTGGGAAGAAGTTGGCAGCCACCTTCTGTTAGATGAGGAAAAGGTGTCGTTATGGGACGCGTTGGGGTTGGTTTGGGAACAGAAGGTGAGGAGCTTGCTGTTGCCAAGGGGCTCTGCATCAGGAGTCTGTAGAGCAGCGGTTGGCTGTGCAGCGCGTGGGTTCCTGACGTGGCAGGTTCAGGGGATGGTTGGCTGTAGGGCTGTGGTGGTGGTGACAGTGTTTTTTTTATAGGGAATGTGAATTCGGAGTTGGTGAGGGATCTTCAAGTGGCGTTTGGATCAACGGGCTGGACCTCGAGTGGGGAGGGAGGTTCTGGAGCAGGTCCCAGCTCAGTGCGACGTTCTAGAGCCGGTTCTGGCAGAGGTTTAGGTCAAGTGCTGGGTCTGTGGGCTGTTGTACAGTGAGTTGGTGGGTTCTGGAGCGTGTGTGTGGATTGCTCTAGAATCCAGTCCAAGGGGTACTCCTGTTTTGTCAGCTCAAGAGGATTTGCAGTACTCTTGCTACAGCTCCCGTGAGATGCCGCTGCTGATAGCAGTTTGGCTGGTTTTTAAATTTTTCTTCGGTTTTGTCTTTTTCCTTGGGTGCTTTTTATTCTTCTCTGTGATTCTTTCAAGTTGAAGGCACAGAGGATGAGGAACCTATCATCCCATAAAGCACAGCTCTCCCAGAATTCCAGCATACTGACTCAGTTAAGATTCTTTTCTCAGGAGGCAAAGTCATCTCACACTGTTTCCACTGGACACATGGCAAGCTCTTCCTTGCCTCTGCCCTTCCCAGCAACTGGTGGCCATGCTCCCGCTCCAAGGCTTCTTGCCACTTTTCCAAGAGTCTTGTCTAAGACTTGACGAACCGGGAGACTTACAGCTTTGGTACGCGCTCGTAGGCCTGGAATGGCTTCAGGCAGGGATGGTGTGTCCACGCGTGTGTCTTCTAGCGGCTCGTGAAGGACTCGGCAAGTCTGGAGTACCCTAGAGTAGTGGCACGCAGGTGTGAACAGCAGGCTAACCCCAAAGCTGAGAAGGAGATGGGTGAAATCTTGTGGATGAGCTTGCTCCTGGCTACAGGTTTGCTCAGGAGGCGACAGTCTCCTCTGCAGAAACAGACACTTCGCCCCACTCTGCTTACAAAAGCATTTTCACCAAATCACCAATTAACGTCACTTAGATGAAAGGATGGAGAAAGCAAGCGAGGGACGGCACTTCAGTACGTCCCCTGCATCCCCTCGCGTTCTGCTTGGCGACTGGGAGTACCGTCATCGCTTCCTCTCCTCTTTTTTTTTTTTTTTCTTCTTTGAGTATGCACTTGGGTTGCAGTTTTCAGTTAGCTGCTTTTTTTGCATTCCACATCACACTTCACCTGTAGCAAAGCTTTCTTATTTCAAAGGGATGTGCCAAATACGGTGGAGTTTTTCATTTATTCAGCAATTACATTAGTGCAATATTCTAGCTTCAGTATGTCTCTTCTCCTGTAAGTTCTACAGGAATCAGTTTGTAAGGGTCTCTTTCTTCATTGCACCTGCAGTAAGAACGTTTCAGGGATGCTTTAGGTTTGGGATTAACTTGGAAGGCTGGGGTTTCAGGAGAGTTAAAGACTGATGAAAGGTGTGGAGGAATTGTGGTTTTCTTTCAGCAGAAAATTACAGGTAACAAAACAAATCTGTTCGTGTTGCAGAACTAATCTATTACTTATGCTCTGACACCGTAGGACATTTTAGATGAAATGAGGAAGGAGTTAACGAAATTAAAGGAAGAACTCATTGATGGTAAGTATCAATCTGTCTGCTGCTGTTGATCAGCCTTAGAGCGGGTAGCTACAGGTGCACAGCAGTGTAAATACAATGTGTTTCTGGCCCGAGAATGATATATTGGTAAAAGCAGCTTTGCTGTTAGCCTGGTGCCATACTTCCACTTCTGCCAGACCTGTTCTGATTAATGTGCTTGTCCCTCTTCTCTCCTGCGCTCTCCGTTTTCATAGCACACGGACACCAAGTTCGGACTTCTAAAAGTGGTTGGAGGGATGCTGTGTTTGAGAGATTTGCGGTTATTCTTTTATCGTGTGGTGGTGGGTTATTTTTAAATAAGCCAAAGCTGCTGAGGTGCATATTTCAAAGCTGGTCATGTTTGTCCTAGGATTGTGCTCCCCGCTCTCAGTCTTCTGCTCTTGGGTCTGTAGCATAAGAGTCAAAGAAGAGAATTCTCACAGTTTTCATTTTTATATTAACAGAAGATATTTTCCTAAGTAGCCTTCTGTAACTAAGGGAAATTATTGAGAGACCATAATCTTAAAGGTCCACCAGTCAAGAAGTAAATAAAACACTGTTTTACTGTCTTGGTGAGCTTTTCCCCTTTTTTCTCTTCTTTTATGGAAGAAAAAAGGAGATGGAAAAGAAGGTCATCAAATTGATACCACTGCTGGTAAAATATCAAATGTCATCAGCTGATGTCATACAAAAGCCTGGCTGTTTTGGGGCTACAGGGAATGCAGCGCTTTTCCTTCGATTTGGACTGTGCTGCGTACCGCAGCCTTTTAGGGCAGCAGGATGCAAACAGGGGAGGGCCCCGAGGCCGCTCTTCATGCCCAACAAACCAACAAACAAAAATGAAAATGAAGGAGCCCACCCATGTGCTCCTTGACAATCCCGTTGGTGGGGGCTGTCGCAGACTGGCTGGAGGCGCAGGACTGAAAATGAAGGTGTTGACGAACACTTTGCAGTGGGCAGGAGGGCACTGCCCGGGCGAGAAGGACACTTGTCTGAAGGCACACGCAGCCCACATTGTGAGGCTTCTGGGGCAGGTGGCTCCCTTGGGTGTGCTGGCTTTCTGCCTGCGCTGCGACGGCTGGAGTTGCTAACTTCTCTCTCTCTTTCTCTCTAGCTATCAGGCAGGAACTCAGCAAGTCGAATACTGCATAGAAAGACTAGGACTAAGCCGATGTGACTCTTTAACTTGGTATAAAACTGACTACGTTTTGTGAGCTGTTAGAAGAAAACGGAGACAGACAGACACTTGGAAGGAGGGAGAAACAACCTATTGTGAAAAGCTTCAGACGCATCACTCTGGTGATATGCTATTCCCCTCCTAGTTTGCAGCTTTTTTCTGACCTTTCCAGCAGGGTGGAAAAGACTCTTAAAGTTACTGTAATGATTATGCAGAAATTCCTACACCTGTCAGACAAGATCGCAGTGCTTTGAAGTCTACTCATGTCAAGATAAAATTGCACATGTTTCAGACTTTGTTGTTAAGACAAAAAAAAAAAAAACAACCACAGGGAAAAGCTTGGGAAGGCTTTTCAGAGAGGTTTTCTTTGTTAATGAAGGAGTTAGCAAGTTATACTGTTGTACTTCAAATGTATCTCAGGTTTGTCTTCCTATCATATCTGATATTTCCATGAATAATTTAAAAGATCAGATGTGTGTAAGTTCAGTTCACAAAACACGGAGCGATTAGAAACGCGCGCTTTTAAAGGGCAATATCTGTAAGTGAATGACCTAGATGGTGACGACATATCAAGATTTTGGAATTTTATGATAGGAAGCCTCTCTAGTTAGCCTTCATGCAATTTTATAGGAAAATTTAAAAAAGCAAATACAGTCCAGAGTTTAAAGATGTAGATGCCTTCCTACATTGTTACGATGCTTTACCAAATCTAAGACTTCTACATAATACGAATCAGCAGTCAAATGTAAATCATTAGTATGTTGTAGATTTACAGTAGATTTTGGGGCTTTTTTTAGATTTATGCATGTGGACATTTTTGTAATGTAACACAACACAGCCAGCTTTTTAATTAAAAGAAAAATTGCATGTCACAGAGTAGCCTTTTCATTTGTAAGGCTTAATTTATGCCCAGAAAGATGTGGGATGAGGGAGGGGGAAGGTGACACATTTTTATTACTTTCTACACTTTTTCTTCATCTTACATGCATGTGTAATAATGAGGAAAATGTGACTTTTATCAGTAACCATGTTAATGGAACCAGGTACTTGATGCTTTTGTATCTTTTTTCAGTTTTCTATTTGAAATTCAGTAATACTTCCATGACGGTTCTGAAACTCCCATGTGAACCGAACTCCTTTCCTGGTGAGAGAGCAAACGTGTAGGCATCTGAATCCATGAGGATGCCCCCCGTGTAAGTGCGTTGTCCTTCACCTTTTTGCCATGACCCCCTGCTTCACTCTCTTCTGAGACTCCTTTTTGATCGTTTCATGAAACGGGACAGCAGTTAATTATGATGGCGCATCACATCACAGTACGTCCCCTTCTCCTTCTAATTTATCTGCCACTCTCCTTCCAAAAAAACCTCAAACCCAACAAAATACCCTACAGCTGCACACTACCCAAACCCTGAAAAACAGCAGTGGTATGCCATTGGTTTCGGTTGAGAATTCGAGAATCAGTTTGAGGGAAGATGATACCTTTCTGTTTCCCAGGGTTTTCAGATTTTATGCTTGGTTTTTGGGTTTTTTAAAATTTTTTTTTTAATGGGGTACAGTTCAGTGGAATAGAAATTCTGTGAATTGGATCTGTAGTGCTTTGGACAAAGAATATGGATCAAAATCTTCCCTTTTCCTTTGCACTCTCAATATTTCTGAGCCGTAACAGTGCCATGTTTGCTTTGGGACCTGTGCTGATCCAAAAGAAAAGTTCACTTCCAACTTTTGGAGAGATTAATGTTTCAGCTTAAAAGTATATGCAGCTCCATTCGTAGGACAAATGCTTTCAGTAACATACTGTCTTGCACACCAAAGCAAAGCATCACTTACAGCTTTGGAAAGGCTTCAATGGGAAATTTTTTCTCCAGTTCAAACATTTCCTGTTTCTATAGGTTCAGATTCTAAGAGAAGACTACAGTGGAAATATTGCCTAACTCCATTTATTAGTCATTTTTTAGAAAAAGAAAGAAGACAAAAAACCCCACTTTTCCTGCATGCATTTATCGAAGGCATTAAAAAATAATTCCGTAGTCAGCTTGTCAAGTACCGTTTTTCTCAAAACAAGAGGAGGCATTTTCATCTTTGTTGATATAAGTTTCTGTTTTACACGGACTTTCTGAGCATTAGGGAAGTTTACCCTTGTCAGAAATCATGTTTGGTTTGTTTCTAGGAGCGTTGAGGAGTAGCATAGCGGAATAGCGTGAATGGGTACAAGTGGTCCAAAGTTAGCGGCTGAACTACTCGATCGTGCAAGGAACTGGTTTATGCACTAAACGTTTTGTGCCTTGGTCTACAATTAACATGATTTCTGTTTAAAAGAAAAAGGAACAGATGTCGTCTTTTGTGCTGCTTCTACATTCATACTTTCTGTAATCCCAAACGGCCGAGTTGGTTCTTTCCAGAAAACCGGGTTGAATTAAAGATTACTGTAGACATTTCCTGTCCTACTGACAGTTGCACCGTTTCCAGAGATTTCAGTATTGAAAATGAACTGCAGAAGCTAAGATTGTTTCGCTTAACTGGTAACCAAGTTCTTCTAAAAACCATATTGTGGTGGTTCTGTGCTTTTGTACAATGGATGTCTTAAGCTGAGGGCAGTTTAAGGGATCCTTTCTAATGCCAGGAAGGCGTTGCTTTCCTCAACACTGTGATCTGACCGGTGACGAACCTGTACTATAGACAAGTGGCTACAAGTCAACTGCAACCAACTGAATGTAAAAAAAAAAAATCTTAGTGCTGGTGCTGAAATCTCTTCAGACAGACATACTGATTTCCAGTTCATTGTTTTAAAAAGTTATCGAGCATCAAGTGTCAGTCAGAGACTGAAGATGATCACTAATGAATGTTGACTTTTCATGCCTTTAGGTTTACCTTCTTTTTAGTTTCTCAGTTCATTCTCTGCTATTTTTATCATATTGTGTCATTTTAAATTTCTTACATGCTAACGTTTTGTTTGAGCGAATGAAATAAAATTGCAATATATACACATTGCCACCATTTCTTTCTGGAACTTCGTAAAAGACTCTCTGAGGTTTCCTACTCAAATTCGCAAAATTTTTAGTGGCTGATCATTCCTTACTCCTTGATCCCACCCCTCCTTTCTGTTTCTCCAGCAGAAGATTCGGTAGAGAAAGGTGAAGACCTACCTTACGAAGAGTGTAATTGCAGGGACTGTGTGACGTTCATGAATGGGAACTGCTGTACATACCTTACGAAGAGTGTAATTGCAGGCAGGGACTGTGTAACATTCATGAATGGGAACTGCTGTACGTAAATTAAAATCCATTTAAACTGTACGGTTTGATTTACGTGCTCACACGGCATACGCTTTGGTCTCTATATCCACGGAGAACTTGGAAGGGAGGGACACCCTCCCAAGACCAGTGGAAAAATAGTAACAGTCTGACGTTTTCTCTTGCTGCTTTTATGTTCGTGATTTTCTTTCAATACTGGTAATAAAGAAAACCTACCATGAAAGATTAATTCAGCTTTTTGTACACTAAGGGCATTTTTGCTCAATTTGTCTTCCAGCCGAATACTGAGTGTAGCTGTTGAAATGTCATCACAGAATCACGGAATGGTTTGGGGGTCGGAAGGGCCCTTACAGACCATCTAGTTCCAACCCCCCTGCCATGGGCAGGGACACCTTCCACTAGACCAGGTTGCTCAAAGCCTCATCCAGCCTGGCCTTGAACACTTCCAGGGATGGGGCATCCACAGCTTCTTGGTAAGTCCTTGACTTGGCATCCTGAGAGCTGTCCTGCCCTGCTGCTGCCTTTCTGTTCAGAGAGAGAATGGGACAATCCAGCTTTGGCAAACCGTTTGTACCGGTGCCGAGTTTGGCACCAACCTTAATGAGTTACAAAGAGGTTTTTTAATAAGAAAATTATCACTGAATTCTAAATTGGGGTAGTGTTTAGGCAACAAGTATAAAAACTTCTGATTCAAATTTCTTAACAGTGTTACAAAATCTGTGTTGATATACAATAATCTAGTTTTTAAAGTTGTGCAAAAGTAGGAAGGTGGTCTGCCATCGATCAGACTGATGAGCATCAGCACTTTTTACATCGGCTCTTCTGAAAATGCTTGAAGTAGGCTCGGTGTGAGTGCTAAGCATTACTTGACAGCCTTTGTCTTACAACCAGTCATACAAAGCTTGCCAAATCAAGATTCCCTCTGCTTTTGTAGGTGAACACGGCTAGCCTGATGGGGAGCAAGGAAAAAGTTTCCCAAACTGGCTTTGTACCCAAATCTAACAAATCTTTGGGGGACTGCAAATTTTCTGGACTCTGTAGGCTGTCACTGTAGGGTTTTTGGCAGAGAGCAGGTGAAAAGGGAAGGAGTCCGTGATTTCAGTGGATTTGGGGCCAGGGCAAAGCACTTGACTAACAGCCTCACTTAAATCGTCCATCTCAGGGAGTAATTTTGGGGTATGGAAACACGGAGGATTGTTTAATGCTCGGTTACATCTGTCTAGGAGAGTCTTAATGAAGAGGGAGAAGTAAGTTCGTTAATGAACTGTCGCAGTAGGTGTGTTTTTCACCTTTGGTTGGCTGTTTAGGTTAGCCCCTGTGAATGCCTGACTGGAGTTAAGTATTTAATTCCTTGGAGATGGTCACCTAAGGCTGTTGAAATCGATGTGTCAGGGAATCGATTCAAGTTGATTTGGGTTTATAATCTGAATTTTTAAAGAAAGGTGTTAATAGAACTTGGCGTAACTGTCCGAGATAGGGAAAAGGAGGTGTTGGGAACGCTCAGCAAAAACCTCAGTCGCAGCGCTGGTGTCGGCATGTAACCTGGTGATCCGCACCCTCGTTGGTTGCACGGCGGGGTTGGTCGGGTAGTTGGTCATCCCAGTGTTGCCAAAAGTCAGGCGGCTTTGTGAAGCCATTATAAATGGGTCCCAGTTGAACTCTCAGTCAACAGATGCGTTTTCTTACGTTTATTTTATGGAGCGTGGTGTCCTGAATGTTACTCGATGAGTATTCTCTATCCAGCGTCCAACCTTGATAAGCTGTTTGGTGGCAAAGAGGTGGAGCGTCTCCTGCGGATGAACTGTGTTGCTCCTCTGGCTGGTGCAGCTCAGGGCTGCAGGCTGACGGTCTCCTCTGTCGAGATGCTTAATTTTGCCGCAGTCGTCGGTCAGATACGTGGACCGCTGCCTTCGCCCTTCCCAGCTCTTAGTTTAGAGCTGTTACCGGTGTAACATTTTCACTTTTTACAACTGCAGGTCACTTCCAGAAGCACTGTAGAGTTGGAAGTGACGTCCCATCATCATCCTAGGTTTACCATCTTAATTCTCAAGTGTAATTTTTTATCACCAGCCAGCTGGAGCGTCTTAAATCCCTGCCTGCTCTCTGAACGGCTCTTTACTCGGCAATAAAGTCGTCTATGCTAACGATGCTCTAAGTGTGCCGAACCATATCCCAGTTTTCTTTGCCAGGGCCTCTAGGAGTTGGTCCGCAAGCTGCTGGCAGGGGCAGAGGAACACGTGAGCAGTAGTGTGGAAGGTGGGTGTAAGGAGGGAAGTGTGAGGGAGTGCTGGGAGCGCTCAGTGCAGGCTGATACCTGCAGGGAAGGAAGCTGCTAGAAAGGAGCTGGGCTGCGGGAGGCCTGAAAACTCCCAGACAGGTTGCACATCCAGTCTGGATGCTGCTGTAACCTGCAAATTGGGAGCGCTTTCTGGGCAGCCTTAAGGCTGCTTGCCCATTGCTGTAGGCCTAGTACGTTTAAAAAAAGAAGGAAAAAAGCGAGGTATATTACCTCTGTGGAAGGTGAGTTATCTGCTGCTTGACATTTTTTTCCCCAGTACCGTATTGTGAAACCAGTTTGACCCTGTGTAGCTCGGTTAAGTCCGGTGATGCTGCAGAACCAG